TTACAATGAATGTTACGGTAGCGTCTTAGCTGGGGTTACCACAACAGATGGGGGAAATACGTGGTACTATATGTAACTTTACCACTGACCTGACAAAGATCAGATGCATATAATCCCAATTAATTGCAGCTCAAAGTGTTAACAAATTAAAGTTACCTGTGTCCGATGATCGTAGCACATATTTGTACATTATACAGCGATACGAAATATGCGCGACCACAGCGGCCTAAGTTGGCCTCAGATGTCACAAATTGACACAAAAAGAAAACAAGTGCAAATAAACAGCTTAGGCGATGATCGCCGCAGCCCACCTCGTTCAGTATTGCAGCTACCGGTACGCGTGCTGTGTGCCATGCATTCTCATCCCAACCTCATCGGCTTTAGTTGACCTCAGATGTCACAAATCGATCCAGAAAGCAAGTGTGAATGAACTGCTCACACGGTGATGACTGCATCGGGTTTGCTCCGCCATCCCATCGTGTTAAGTACTGCAGCTACCGGCAGTGGGACTGTATCGCATGCAATGCAATGGACATTTCAACTGTGCGGATGCTTGTTGGCCTGAGAGGCCACTCAATTGACCCTGAGTGACCTCTCAGGTCAACAAGCTCGGCACATGTTGCTTGACTCCTTTTGTGACTTGGGATCACTCAGCTACACTCAGCTAATCACACTAATCCAGCTAATCCAAGTAGACACTCAGCTAATCCAAGTAAAAAGACTTGACCTTTACAGACCTGCAAGAAAGCAGGGAATACCTTGGTACTTGAAAACTGCATTGTGTTCCTAAATGTGGAAAACGATTTTGCGGAACATTAAGTCTCATTTCCGATATGACCCTATAATACCATTATCGTAGCCTGGGGTAACCTATTCACCTGGCCCAAACAAAAAGGATGTCTTAAGATCGCATGTAAGTGTGGCTACAGCGACACAGTCACTTACGGTTGAAGTCGCTTGCACAAGCACGATGGCATGCTGCTCACGCCTCGGCGGCCCTGAGTCCTACCGCCCGCCGCCGAAGACCCGAGCTCTGCTCCCGCCGCGGCGGACCACAGCGGTCCAGCCCTGTCCTGTCCTGTGAGTCCTGCCGCCCGCCGCGGCGGACCTGAGTCCAGCCGCCCACCGCGGTCGACCTGGGTCCAGCAGCCCACCGCGGCGGACCTGAGTCCTGCCGCCCACCGCGGCGGACCTGAGTCCAGCCGCCCACCGCGGCCGACCTGGGTCCAGCAGCCCACCGCGGCGGACCTGAGTCCTGCCGCCCACCGCGGCGGACCTGAGTCCAGCCGCCCACCGCGGCGGACCTGAGTCCAGCAGCCCACCGCGATGGACCTGAGTCCAGCAGCTCACCTCGACGGATCTGAGCTCTGCCGTCTGTCGCGGCGGGGCCGGCACCCACCAGGCCCGGGAAACTTGCACTTTATACATTCCATAGCTGGTTATCTGATATATGTCATAAAACCTAACTAAGCTTGAACAGCTGCATGAAGCAAAAGGCATAATGTTAATTGTATTGCCCTCTTAATGTCTCACCCTCTCTACGCTCAATTGCATAAAGAGGCTACCTTCTCTGTGCGCCTAGATACGTGCGATGTGCGGCCGCCGTTCGTTGCTTGTAGTGTGAAATTACTATTACTAGTGAAATTACTGGTGAACCACATACCCGAAATGAGTTTGAACGTCAGCTGCATGTTTGTATTTGAATTTGTTCGCGGGGCATCAGCGGTCATCTTGGGGTCAAAGATGTTGATTACCCTCTGGTAAAAGAGCCGGACACGACTTTTTCGTAGAGCCAGCACAATGGCTGGCTGACGATAGTACCCGACGTAGTTCTTTTCAGTCACGTGAATGATCTGTGTACTCAAGTCATTAAACGAACTGAATCGTTTGGCATTGATAATGATGGATGGAAGCTTATAGGTTTTGCCGTGCACTTCAAAAGCTTTAACCAGGTGTGGTATATGTGTGGATATATTGGCATATGTTTAAATATTGCAGTCCATTTTAGTCAACACGCCTACCTGAGGAATATAAACATCGCCGTAACTGGATGTTTTCCCTTCATCAAACAGCTGGAAGCGAAAGGGAACTAGACCACAAGGGCCTCAAAGTTCTAACCGTAGCATGCAAGCCTGACTTTTGGACAATGACATCGGTTCCTAGCACTTAAACGTGCAACGTGCAACCTTATTTGAAATTGTAAGCGACGCCGTTTATCAACAGTAGTGCGTACGGAGTGCTTCAGTGGTGCGTTCGGGTAGGAGGCAGGGCCTGTTCCGCGCACTGGTACCGCCGCGGAGGCTAGCTTTTCAGCCGCGGTGACACAACAGCCTTGTGCTGTAGGAGTTGAACTCAGCGGATCTTTGTGGAGACACTGCACAGCGTCAATTGCACACTAGAACGCCGCAGAGCCAGGAGACCCCACCAACCCTCTCATAGATCCGTGCTCACGCTGCGGTGATGGACGGCTCAGCTTCGCCGGGGTACGAAAGTCTCGCCAGCTATTGTATGTGTCTTCCAATGGTGGCAGCTGTCTTCCAATGGTGGCAGCCGTCTTCCAACGGTGGCAGCCGTCTTCCAACGGTGGCAGCCGTCTTCCAATGGTGGCAGCTGTCTTCCAGTGGTAGCAGCTGTCTTCCAACGGTGGCAGCTGCTTCCAATGGTGACAGCTGTCTTCCAATGGTGGCAGCCGTCTTCTAATGGTGGCAGCCGTCTTCCAATGGTGGCAGCGTACTGGCCTCTGCGGCTTCATGCGAGTGCCGACATCAACGACGTCAAATCGGAGTCGCCGCAGTATGCAACTAACTGCAATTTTGCAACCCAGATTAAATAAAGGATTCGCCCGCGAGTATTCGTGAGCCGACACAGAAAACGGCGAGTGTTACTCGTCATTCTTCGCATCTAGAGTGAGGAAACGTGCATCACTTAAGGAAGCATGATTCTGCCCGAATCTCGCAACGCAATTTTGGCACGATAGAAATCCGATTTTAAGAGCCGAGATGGCTTCGAGTCGACGTTTCAACCTGCGTCCGGCCGGGGGCCTGAGACAATCGCTTTCGACAGGGAAGGGGAAATTTGACTTCCCCTGTGATCTCCAGCTTGCAGACCTGTGTAGGCCTTATCAAATCATGAAGAATGCACACCAAAATTTTGGCCGTAGGCAAAATGTGAGACCACTAGATGTCACGAAAGGAAAAAGGGCCGTTCTGATATTTGCAGTTAAAACATGTTATTACGCCAAGTCGGATATTGAGAGAACGCAAATGAGCGTTAAGACTGGGGAAGTCCAATCCGACCATTTTGCCCACATTGGTCAAGTCAGGTCGGGTCGCCTTCCAAAATTGGTCGGGTTACCTTTCAAAAAAGCTATTGTTCTTGTACGTAGCGTACAAGAACAACAGTTTTTGTTTTCTTTCACAATGCGTTTTTGAAAAGTCTATTCTATTAGGTACAGCCGCGGGGAAAATTTCCAGACACAAAACTACCATTTCATGCTAACCTAGAGGTCAGCTCAGGTTAACTTAGCCCAAATTCATAAACCATCCAAATCCCATAGGTCTTTTATGCATCATACATAGTCTTTTCGACGCCTGGCAATTTATTTGTAAAATCTGAGAACAGGCACGTTGGTACGTGATATCACACGTCATCAGCTCTACAAACACGATATAGGGGTGGTTTAACACGCGTCGCGCTCGTTCCTCTCCTCTTTCGTGCCCCCTCCTCTTTCGGCGACAGAGGTCATTGATCTTGGCCGACCTCATATGAAGTTGTGTGTTCCCACGTGACCCACTGTCACCTCATTCTGCATTATAGAGATATCAGGACATGTTTTCGGTGCAATGTTCGAATTCTGAGCCCAAAATTACATAATAAAACTGCCTGTTTAGAGGTCAGTATGTATTTTGCAGAAGCCGTCCTTAGTGGAGGTCATGACCTGGGCAAGTGTCATGTGTTCTGTGGTCATATGATGGTGTGATATGCAAGTCAGCTGCCCGAAGCAAACACTGGATTAGCACTCTTTTCCTCATACACAAAAGACAAAACTATACAAAGTACATACAAGTTTACAATTTCTTTACGAAAATGGCCACAACTTGGCCAGATCTCAGCTCACCACCAATGTATATTTCAAAAATATGAAATTATCAAACGGTAGGTACCGACATTATCGGTCACCATAAATAGTTTAAGCAATAACAAATGGTCCACAAAAAGTTATGCGTGGTCAAAGTTTTTGAAAGTCGCCATTTTTTCCTCGCCTACGCTGCTGACCGGGGCAGATTACACTTTAAAATTTGCAAAAAGATGGCCAACTTAATAGATAAACAAGTAATTAAATTTGATGCTCCGGCAAACGTTCGTTTTTTGCTGAGCTCGAGCGCCCGGCCAGCAGTCCCCTGGCCGGTCGCGGGTTAGTGGCTGGTGGTGCCTAGTGCCAGAAGATTGTTTACTGAGACCAGCTTGTGCATGAAGTTGCGGAGCGGCATCCACTGGTGCGCTCGCATAGCAGGTCAATGATATTGTTTGTGCGACGCTAATCTAAGGACTTACCGAGGTAAAACTTGCTGTCCACCGGGCGCCAACTGCGTATACATCCGCAGTACTCATCGATCTAGAATCGGGTGCGGGATTTCTGACGAAACTAATCTCGTCCCAAGACGTGGCCCACTGTCATACCTCTGGTCTGACATTGATGATAATCCTGTATATATATATATATATGTATATATATATATATATATATATATATATATATATATATATATATATATGTATATATATATATATATACATATACATATATATATATATATACATATACATACATATATATATATATATATATTTATTTAAACATATATATATATATATATATATATATATATATATATATATATATATATATATATGGGGGGGGGGTCGGTGGCGTACTGGTCCGTTCACAGGCCGCCAATTGCGGGAGCTCAGATGATGACGTCATGCTGGTTCGTTTACAGGCCGCCAACTGTGGGGAGCTCAGAGTATTGGAGTGAGGACAGACCGACAAATGACATCTATCAAATCCAAGCGAAAGGTACGTGCAATGTATCTGAGGCGTGATGGTAAGTCAATGATCCGTGGACGCACGGATGCTGATCTGTCTTCTTCGCAAACACCCGCCTCTTGGAAATTAACAGCTGACACTGTCTAAGTCATTTGCCGATTTATTGGGTCAAAATGCATCAACACCCGTCGAGCAAAACACGTGTTTTTGAGGCATGGTTTGAAGACTTAGGGTCAAATGAGGTCAATAGATAAAAATGCATATTGGCCGGTACTGTCAACAGAGAATGCGCAGTGTTGAAGCTCTTAATGCGTTTTTTCCGGGCGAATTAATGGTGTAATGCATCAACCACGCGCAATGTGCCAGGTTTGTGACAGAAAATATAACCGATATGTGCTAAATAAAGTTCAAGTAAAATCGGGCAAATGAGTGGCACCGATTTTCTGGAAAACTCAACTTGATAAATATGGACGTTTTTGAGACGTTCACGGTAAAGGTGAAAGTTTTTTAAATACTCAGGATGAAGATGAAAGTTTGTTACACATCCAGGATAAAAGTGGAAGTTGTTTAGACGTCTACGGTTAAGATGAAGCTGTTAATGTGTCCACGATAAAGATGAAGCTTTTGTGATCTCCACGCGTCACAAACGCACGGATTGCCCTTTTGTCGCTGATCCCTCTTGGCCTTCCACCAATGGCGGCGCGCTACGGTGGAATCTGCGCGGCGTGGTGGGGTTAAAAATTGCGACGGTTGCAGAACGTTGTGTACCTTCTCGTTTCCTCTAGACTAACGAATCAAAATTTCAAAGGAATGTTGGCCACGATTCACTGCACCGTTTTGTGGTTTTTTTTTTTAGAGTTATAGCGTACGTAACCTGATCATGTTGCAAAACGGCGGACGCCATATGTGAAAGAAGTTTGGAAGGTGACCAGTTGTTTAGGTTAACGCAACACATCTCGAATAAATATTCGTGAAGTTCCATCGCAACTAAGGAGTAAATACTGAGCAGTCCGAATAGAGTGCAAAGTCCGTTCAATGACCAATCGTCTTCTGAGAGTAATTCAAAGTACGCAGGGTTCCGTAACCACACGCGCCCTGTTGGCGGTCATTCTCCCACGCGGCAAGCACTTGTGCGTCGCCGCGGCCGTGCGACGGTCGCCTTGAGCAGACATTCTGACTTTACCGGACTGTGACTAAACCAGTCATTTGCCGCCCGGTTTTTTGTTGTTTTTTGTATGCTCGAAGTCTTGTTCTCTTGGTGGTGGATACCCTAGCAATGTTGCGCAATGAGCGCACTAGATAGCGAGCTTCCAGACTCTACCAGATTCCCCCAGATTCTAATACAGCGTTTTCGTGCAGAGTGCTGCGGCCGACAACAAAGTGCATTACTGGAAATGCTTCTGATACTCAGGACGTGTTTCTACTCCTTGTTACCCTTATTGTTTTCTATTTTTTGCAGGCAGAGTAAATTGGAAGTAGTTTAAGATGAGCGATTCCATGTAGTACCGAAAATGTCAAGAACTATTACGGGAGAGGGGGTTAACACACGCCCGGGTAGCCGGCAGGACAACCTTCGCTCGGGTTGGGGGGAGATCAATTAGACCCCCTGAGATCTCGGCAACTAAGAAAGCTAGAGACACCAAATTTACAGGGTGTCTTGATCTGTACGTGAAATGACTTCGGTCAAAGTTTGAGCTTCCTAGATCATGACCTTCAAGTCAAATAAGGTCAAAGAAGTTCAAATTCCAGGCTGGTCTCCAAGGTGCCCCCAGAACCTAGGCAACCGTTTTTAAGCAAAAGGCCAAAAGCCCATTTAAGGTCAGTGGCCTTGTATGACCTTTTGAAGGTCATGGTGACCAAGATCATACAAGACTGCACTGAGTTTTGTATTTGAACAAGCGACAAAGGTTACGCTAGGCGGTATGTTCCTACGACAAATTGTCGACCAGGTCATCTTAGGTCAATGACCATATCTGATCTCTTGGAAGTCAATGCAAGAGATATAATGCGGTTCCTGCTGTCAATAAATTCGAAATGAGCACCACAAACTGTCACATACAGCAAGCCCTAGAGTAATAAATCAGGCTGGTTGTGACCTCGGTCTGACCTTCATACCTGACCTTAGGTCAAAGTAATTTGCTAATTCAATATTTGCAGTGCCTAAGAAAGCATCTCAGAGATATATGGTTTCGTCAAACACTCTGTTATTGTATCAGATTAGACGATTTCCTAAAAATTGCCTTCGCTGAAACCATGGCCTAACTTTGACCTGCCATAGGCCAGCGACCTTAAAGCGTGCATCTAAATTGTTGATGTCAAACGATTTGCTGTTCAATTGTCTACAGCTATGCAAAATTTGGAGCGGCTACACCGCGCCGTTTGGAAATCATTCCGGAAAAACCTGCCGGGGGGCCAATTTGACCCCCCCACACCCGAGCGAGTGTTAGAGTTGATGGTGAGCTGTGGAAGGTTTGCCGGCCACACCACATTGGGGGGAGGGAAGGGGGTAGAAAGTGGTCCTTTAAGGCGACGCCCGCATGCGTAGGCCGACATTGATGCGCGTTAAAAAAACAGGCATCGATCACATTTTTCACTTGGGAACTACATGTGACCGTCTGTGGAGTGGCTGCTGCCTTGTAAATTCATTCCTGATTTTCATTTGAAATCCATATTAGGATTCCGTCACATACCTGAACGAATAGTTGAGTGCAATGACAATACCGCATTATAAGATTATATCGAAATGGCTGAGTGAACGTCAACGTTCCCCAATATCCTCTGTTAGCAGATTATCCTGAGAACTCGGTATGGACAGGCTATGGATTTTGAGTAACAGGAAACTCTGGGAATGCTAGGACGTAAAGTAGAAAGTTTTAAAACCAGAATAATCTGCGTCCATTACCTTCTTGTTTGTTCCCATGAAGTCTCGCTCTCGGCATGACTGGAATAATTAGATTTGTCGTTAGTGCTGTAAGTTCTTACACATAACACTGGTCAAATCGCACTGCTTAATTACCACCCGTACTTTCGCACTCCTGTCTATTATGTGGTCGATCATGGCGGATGAACTTCTTGCATCGGTCACCGTTATTATCAAAGTAATGAACATGCTGATACCATCATTGTGAACGGCAATACCGCCGCCGGCTTAAGTGCTTTCACAAGATTTCCCATAATTCGTTGTTAGTGGCTACTCAAAGAAAACACCCTGCGGAAAATATCAGGCCATGGTACGAATGACCACAATAGTGGTGGCAATTTTCGATGCCGGAAAAAGATTGGATGTTTCCGATTAGTACTGGGACATGGTTGCCAGCTGAGGTCCTAAAATTGGTTCAGTACCGGAACTTTGGTCGATTGCAAAATCACTTCACACGGAGCCTGACAGTCATGACTCAGATGAAACCAGAAAGTATGCTTTCACGCCGTTAGAAAAGGCTCATTTCGAGCGCCCAATGCCATAAATTCCAGTTATCGATGACTTTATGATGGATGTAAATGACAACGGCAAAAAAGATGATGAATGAAAGCAACGAGAATCGTCATCAATGGCAGCAAAGACCAGAGCACGGGACATGGGATGAAATCAATGTTAGCTCGTCTTTGCGCTAAAGTGATCAGTTTGGATATAAATGAGGATGCGTTGGAAATGCTGGCAAAGACCCTGAACGTTGAATTGTGCAATATGATCTGCACCATGAAACGAGAAGACAGTCCTGAATACGAGCAGACATCCATATGCCGTGGACTTAACGTGATTGGATCTAGATAAGACAGTAGTTGACAGTGGATGCCTTATTCTGCGGAGAAAACCAAAAGAATGGAGAAATATACTGGCTGATATTTCGGCAACATGCCTTGATCGAAGCAACACCAGACGTGAATTTATAATTGCTTGCCGATGATTCCACTCTTTTTCTTTTCTTTTTTGAAACAGCAGGTCAGTTTTCACAGGACACCACCATTCCGGGGATTAAGCAAAGAGTGATAGCCAGCCATTACCACGATACAGGGCATATCTAAGAATTAGAATTGAATCCAGACTATTGCTTCTATAAAGGTGTGTTGCCGAAATATCAACCAATCTAGTTCTCCACTCTCCTGGTTACCTCCGAGGAATAAAGCCATCGCAACCGTTTTTTTCATGTGAACAATGTTCCTCGCGAATGCACTGAATAACTTACGTAATCGGATCTAACCTTATCTACCGTTGCCGAACATTTGATTAGCTGAGTTTTTAATCGAGCTTTTTGAATGGACTGGCTCTAACTTTGTATACTTACCTAAAAGTACTGGAGATAGAGATTTGCCCTGCAGTGCACTTTTTGGTTGTGTAGTGCAATGGAGGTAAATGTGATCTGGTTAATGGAGAAGATTGAAGTGCGCAAGAATGACAAATCCCGCGTTGCTTTTATGCGCGGTGGACAAGACCACTCAACGTGTCAACCCAGTTAGTGGCATGATAACACATGAGCGAGAGAATGAAAGCAGTACACAAGGCATGAGCGAAAATTCGGTTAAAATACGGTGGTGCAATGGAAGTGCGGTTAAGAATACACATGACAAAATCAAGCGGTGAAAGTGGGGTAACTATCGCATCAAAGGCTGTTGACCTGGGCAACGTGAAAAACACTGGCATCTGATGATATTTTGGGAAGCGAACAATAACTTATGGATAGCCAGAATGCCGCAATATATATATATATATATATATATATATATATATATATATATATATATATATACATATATTTGGCCAGCTATGACAACAACGCCCACATGGCGGGTCTGCTTATAATTATCCCAATGTTTATTTTAATGTCCCACATATTTTCCTGTGGGCAAGGTGTACTGCCCCGGAGAACTCGAGGTAGCTGCAGTGTTCAACAGCGATATAGAGTTCTGGGGACCGCACAAGGTATGCAGTGTTTCAGCCTACCCCCAACACCCTACCCTCCCTTCCCTGTACAACGATCGGTAGCTGGGATAGATACACTTCTGCCGGTGATCAGCTGACCACCGCGACGAGACAACAGCTGGCGGCGCGGGCGCGGGCGTCGCAGTGGTACGGGGGGGGGGGGGGGGCGCCCTTTAGATGTCAATCCGGTTACGTCCGACGGACGGTGGTATCGCTCTTGTGTGCTTTCGCCAGCATGCGTGCGGTACGTTTGGTTTGTACATTCCGACTAGGCCACTGTTAACGTTACGATAACGATAACGGATACGATATGCTGTGCTTGTTAAATGACACATACGAAGGTGATGCGCTTGCAGACCGTTCATAGTTCCAGTATTCTCTGTGCCTTTTGTCTTCCACCCGGCGAAAGGCGGTGAATCTCTGGCCTCCGGTGAGCAATGCTCAGCTGACTGCCCACCCTCATCTGTCGCCAGATCGTGCGCATGTTCATCATAGTGGTGGCCATGTTTGCCCTGTCCTGGTTGCCGTATCAGGTGTACTTCGTGTACACTTACCACGACACGTCTCTGGCGAAGACCAGCTATGTGCAGGTGAGTGTTTCTACGATGCTTTATTGAGTATTTTTACTCGAAACGCAGTCTCTCGTCTGTACACAAATAAGTAAGGTGCTACATGCTATGCTTATTAACGTTTATTCCTTCCTTGTACTTGACTCCTCGGGCACCTCTAGCCCAAGATGTAAAACGTGATGTGAACTGGTATGTGCACGCATAACTTATTCAGGAAAATATCCCAACTATGGCTTGAATGAACAAAGTTGGACAAGATAACTATGGCATTTCTCGACAGTTTCTGCAAAAGTGCATTCTTTACTGGCATTGGGACATTGTCATTGTCACTGGCATTGTTTGCTGCGCTTGAAGCTGAACATGGCCCAGCTGTGACTCGCAGTGTTTTGCGTTTGTCAGTTGGGGTGTGGAAAACAGTGCTATATGGTATGCGCAATGATCGCCGAGCAAAAAGCAGCGGATGGAAGTGGGAACAAACACGCAATTGACGATCAACAGGTTCGTCACGCTGTGAAACACGCGTGGTCTTAAGGCGCGTGTTTACGTCCCTTTCAGCACCTGTTCCTGGCTTTCTACTGGCTGGCCATGTCCTACGCCATGGTGAACCCATTGATATACTTCTGGATGAATCGGAGGTGAGTCTGGAGGCCGAGTGACGCCATCCACCCCCTCCTTTCCCCCTCCCCCCCTCCCATTCTCCTAACTTTTTGACCCAACGCCCGGGCTGAGGAGTCAGACCAAATGCATACTGTGACTGAGTGGCGTCAGCGGGGTTCATTCCCCTGGGGGCGGGGAGATCAACGACCTAGGGATGTAGTGCTACTCTGTGGATAAGGGAGGGGCACAAATTGCGTAGAAGAGGTAGGCTTCTCTCCCGGAGAACGGAACGCCCGTACCCAAGTTTTCGTACAAATCGCGAAACGGCGCGTACGACAGCCAACGTAAGCCTGCCAAGCGTTGGCATGAAAGCTGTTCGGAGAGTGCTATTATAGAACGGAAAAGTGAGCATAGAACGATACAGACCAGCTACTACGGGTCAGCCATGTCCGGAAAACCGGCGGATGTTAACGGAGAGGAACAGTTGTCACGAGAAAGCACTGAACAAAGTAGACAGCCATACCATTATTGGATATATGTGCATGTAGGCCTTGCCCCTTGTCCATGAGCCCCTCGTCCAGCTTCTGTTGATCACTTTGCAGTCTAAAGCAACCGGGACAGCAGTCCACGCGAGCACGTTCAGTGCGGGTAGTGTGCGAGCTTTGTCATTATCTCATTAGTCAATAGGCTAAAGAGATGAGCGTTGGGCCCGTCTCCTGTTTCCGACGTCCATCCGGCCGGAGTATTTTAACCCCACTGAGTCCATAGGCCAAAGAGACGAGCGTTGGACTCGTCTCCTGTTTCTGACACTCAGACAGCCCGGATATTTTAACCCACTGAGTCCATAGGCTAAAAAACGAGCGTTGGACGCGTCTCCTGTTCCTGACGCTCAGACAGCCTGGTTATTAACCCCACAGAAATTGCACTGCAGCTTCTCCATTACTGAAACACTCGTTCTGCGCGGTGCCCTGCCGGCCACGATCCGGCTTCGAGAGTCCCTGCTCCCGAGAGCACTTCAGCCGGAATATGCGGCTGCACGACCGGTCTCCACAGGGGCGACAGACCCATGGCGGCGAACCCGCTGCTGACTATTCGCAGAGGCCTGAGCCGCAGATTGCGAACCTCGGCAAGACGGAAGCCCGCGAGGACGCACGGTCAGCACCGTCAGCCTAACGGCACGGGGGCAGCGCGCCGCCAGGGCCAAACTAACTCTTGGACTCGGACTCGGCCTGGGACTGGGACTGGGACTGGGACTGGGACTGGGACTGGGACTGGGACTGGGACTGGGACTCGGACTCGGACTCTCGGACTCTCGGACTCTCGGACTCGGACTCGGACCCGGACTCTGGTTCGGACTCCAGGTCTAGGACTCGGACTCGGTATCGACTGGTCTCGCCGCTCGGCCTATGCGGTTAAGCGGGGTTGCGCAGCGGGTTTGAGCTGCTCTACACTGATCATCGCTCGGGTAGCGTGCCGCCCTGCGTGCCCCACGGTGTCAGGTTTGATTAGCGGGCTCTGGGTCCACTGCGGCGCTTCCACATGCGTGCTTCGTTTGGTTTGTGAGCCGTGTGTTCTCTCGTGGACGTCATCATCCGCTGAGGACCGCGCTTATCTTTCAGAGCGGAGAATGGGCGAAAGACGATGCGAAAGTTCGCTTTGTTGTTGCCTAGTGAAGCTGTTGACGATAAGTTGGTGATGTCCTCCTGGAAGCTGGCGGTGTTGTAGTAAAATAATTTGTTTGTGTAGAAGCAAGCATCAAGTTTCGTTCACCCACATGTTCGATGCATGTTTGGTACTGCACTTCTCCGTCTGTGTGGCGGTATCGGAGACTGAAGAAACGTGACATGAGTCACCAAGCCGACGACGTAGCATTGCGCATCAAGGACCTCGCTTGCATTACGCGACTCGTTTTGGCCATCTTCAAAGCATTTTGTGAGGGAATTTTTCTGACGCACGTCCTTTGTAGCTGTCGGCAGGCATTAAAATCCGGGAATGGATTCCTTGAAAACATGTGGAAGGGTTCAGAAATCTAGGCTTGGTACGCCTCATGAATAATTCGCCTTGAGCTCAACACGTGTTTCGTCAGTCCCTGTGCAGAGCGTAGTGCGAATCAATGCAATATTATCTGACTAGCACTCTCAAAATGCAATAGTCGTAAATCATGGTTCATGGTTCATGGTTCAATCATGGTTCAATATGGTTCATGGCCTCAAAGTCATTTACCTTACTCGCACACATGCTTTGCGCTAGATTGGTCTCGAGCTTAAATGTCCTAACTGCGCTGAAAGCATGAGTATCACATGCCCTCCAGGCGGTCTGTGCCTCTTCCATGACCACTTACGCATATGGACGTCATTGGTTTCTTCGCTTCTCATTTGTGTTTGATTCCCAGTAGTGTAGACGGCGCCGAAGTTCAACAAGCGTTCTCGAACTCATTACATACGGCTCTTCAGTCATGAATGACCAAACGACTTTGGGGACCTCCCCAGCTAATATCCGTTCCGTACCTTCTCCCCGTGGACAAATCCAACTAGAACTTTGCCTACGTCAGGCGGCTCAGTGTCACGACGTGGGAAAGAAACATGACTTGCTATGAAGGAATGGCGAGCACACTCAGAACCATTTCAGGACATTGTGTGGGCTCCGATTAGTCTCCGCAGGTCTGAAAACAGCCACGAGCCTCAAGCCTATGGGAACGCTTTTTAAATTCCTTTTCAGTGTTTGTGAGTACCTCGAGCGATGTCGAAACCATCTTCGAGACCTTCATTGACACCACTTCCACCGCAACAGAAAATGCTCGCGAGGACCTTGCATGGTCGTATGAACTGCCTTCTAACCTTCTCCGAAACCCTTGCGAATCTCTTGAGCTCGTCCAGAGACCTTTTTGAGACCCTCGGGGCTCAGCCGACCGTTCCCATCTTTGAGACCCTCGGGGCTCAGCTGACCGTTCCCATCTTTGAGACCCTCGAGGCTCAGCCGACCGTTCCCATCTTTGAGACCCTCGGGGCTCAGCCGACCGTTCCTATCTGCTTGAAGGCCTGCAGTGCTGTGACTGAAATGAGCCGTAGCGGTTCCTGGTATGCTGGCTTGATGGGCTGTGCCAAGACGCTATCGATGACGATGACGATGACTATCGATGGCGGTCCATATCAAGACGACGTCTGACAGGGATGTCGTCTTGGTGTCGTTTACACGTGTTGTCTTCATGTGTAGACGACATCATACATAAGCGGATGTCGTCTTGATGTCGTCTTAATATGTTGTTTACATATTTAGACATTATGCATAAGCGGACATCGTCTTGATGTCGTCTAAATATGTTGTCTACATATTTAGATGTTATGCATAAGCGTATGTCGTCTTGATGTCGTCTACATATGTCGCCCACGTATATAGACAGCATCATACATAGGCGGACATGGGTTTTATGTCGTCTACATATAGAGACGGCATCCGCGTCGCGCTCCACGAAAACTGCCCTCTCCGAGGTGGATTTACAGGAATGTACACAAGAATTCGCAGTGGGGGGAGGCGTATTCATTGCCAACTTGTCCAAGGTTAACAATTTGGCTAGCATGCATGCAAATGCACGCAGGTTATGAGTAGACATGCCAGAACATGCCTGCTTATTGACTGGAAGGGTACGTGGATAGGGCGTGGGAGTTCATTAGAGATTCGGCGGATGATGTCTCAGGATGTCTGGATCAGGTGTGTGGGTCGGCAAAATAAGCTAAGAGAGAACCTAAGCAGGTTAAGGCGGCCAAACCTACCCCAACATCTATTAAAAAGCCGGGGGAAAGCTTTTTCGAAGATTTGACCCACATTACGCTCTAATCTGAAAGGACTGGAGATAAAGGGCTTCGTTTAGTCAACCACAGTCCCAAGTCTCACCCGGTTTCATCCGATCCCATCAGGTCTTGTCCAGTTTTATCCGGTACCGTTCAGTACCGTCCAGTCCCGTCTAGATACCTATTCGGTGCCCTCTGACCTCTACAACGTTTCATTCCGTTTGTCTGATCTCGTTCTGCAGCGCCCGGCTCCATCCGGTCACGTTCGGTGCCGTTAAACTCCGTCTGACCCCGTCCGGTCACGTCTGGCCCCGTCTGGTTCCGTCCGGCCCCATCCTGTCCCGTCTGCGTCAGCCCCGTCTGGCCAAGTTGTATTTCGTGCATTTCCGTCCAGCCATGTCTGGTGTTGTCCAATCCCGTTTGATGTCATATGGTCTTGTCGGGTTCCATCCGGTCGTAGCCGGCCCCATCTGGCCCCATAAAGTCTCACCTGGCTCCATCCGGTCGTGGCCAGCCCCATCTGCCCCCATAAAGCCTCACCTGGCTCCATCCGGTCGTGGCCAGCCCCATCTGCCCCCATAAAGCCTCACCTGGCTCCATCCGGTCGTGGCCAGCCCCATCTGCCCCCATAAAGTCTCACCTGGTTCCATCCGGTCGTGGCCGGCCCCATCTGGCCTCGTAAGGTCTTACCTAGTTCCATCCGGTCGTGGCCAGCCCCATCTGGCCCCATAAAGTCTTACCTGGTCCCATCCGGTTCGGGTCAGTCTGATCTTGTCCTAACCCGTCGCAACTGCTGGACTCGCGAGACTTTACCCGGTTCTGTCCGATCCGTTCCGGTTCCATCCGGTGCCATGTGAGCCCGTTCTGTCCCGCCCAACTATTTTCGGTCACCATCCTTCGGTCACCATCCGTCTGCCAGGGGCCGTACGTGTGACGGAAAGCGCCCAGATGCCAGCACTGACTTGCCAGGGCTAGACACGCATATAATATTCACCAAGTTGGCAGTGATTCATTGGTTATGCGACGTCATCGTACAATCAGTTAAACGTGTTGGCGACCTTCACTATCTTTCGATAATCAACGGTTTCGCCGACGTAGACCTCGCATTAACACGGTGTCAGCCAAGTGAATTTAGAACGGAATCCATGCAATATTAGTATCAGCAGATGCACACGATCTTTTTGAACTTGTTCGCACCTCATTCAGATCGATGTACAATGTGAGGACAATAAAAGACGTTTTATCTCACACCTGTCAACTTGTCGGTCCCCTAAATCTGCAGTGTGGAGGCGATGTGCGACGCCTGCGCGGACGATGCTGGAGATTGCTGGATAAGTCAGGAAAGGGGCTGAGCATGGGAAAATGGCTAGTCCTACTCCTCAAAATACACTTAAACGTAGAGTGTCCTCCGGGAGTTGAACCCCTTCCTTCACAACGTGGAGGGGAGGAGGCCTGGGCCCACAAATGATAGCGAATTGCCTCCTGGAAAGCATCACCGAAACGCATTGATATTTGAAGAAAATGTACGTACACAAACCTCATAATGTGGACTGTCTTGCGAAATGCATCAGATATTGCTGGTGCAGTTCATTTAACAGAAGTGAATTCTGCTACTCGTTTTGATAAATGCATGTTGCCGAAATATCAACGCATCCATGTTTCCATTCTCCTGGTTTTTCTCCGAGGAGAAAGGTTATTTCTATCGTCTTATCCATATAAATCATGTTCCTCACACATGCATTTAACAACTTACGTAATCTCGCACCAAGTTTCTTAAAACAGCCGAAGTTATGCAATAACGTCAGGGCACCGAAGCACCCACAATAAGGGCCGTGTGGCTTCGTAACTGACGTTTCGCTGTTGCGCCGCCTTGCACACCAGGGTCATATCACAATAGCTGGAACGTTTTAGAGCTGAAGTCAGGTCATTTGAAGGCAAGCGCTTCGAAACGTCCTTGACAATGTCAGAAAGCTCCCTTTTCTAATCAAGCGCTGTTTTTCTGGGTCTCTTGAACGCAACCATTTGATCAGTTTGATGAGCCTGTCTGTTGTCTTAGTCAGTCCTCTTGGCCTTCCCGTCCTGCTTTTTGCCGTGGAGGGGGGGGGGGCACCTGGCGTCAGCTTATTCATGCCTATCTGACCTTTGTGAATGTGGCCAGTTATCTGCCTGTACACATTCGTATGTCCTGTAGGCAGTCTTTATTCGAACCAGTGCAGTATCCTCAGAATACTTTCCTGCAATTTTTCGGCTGGTTTGAAAATTTCCCGCCAATTTCTCGCAGAAGCACAGTCTTGACTGCACAGTAGAATGAATAAGCCTCAGACTGCAGTGTCATCCTAATAGCACTTTCTGGAAAGAAATCCTCCATAGCGGAGGTGGGCTACAGTTATTTATGTTACGCATGAAATCATCAAAAACTGGCGCAAAATGAACCATAATTTGTGTACTTTCATCCTTCTGATATACTACTCGCGCGTTACGCGCACGGCTAACGACTCGAGACTTTTTGCGGATGTTACTAATCAAGGAAAAAAGAAACAGGGTTCCTTGTTAAGAGTTTTAATCCTTCCTTTCTTAGACGTAGTCAGGATCGGTTAAAAACGCTGTTACATGAAGAGCTGCCGAATTAGCTTACACTCTTTTTTGTCAGAATTTCCCCATCCCTGTTGACCAGTGCCGCCATTTTGCAGGTTCCGTTCGTACCTGGTGCTGTGGTGCCGTTGCGCCTGTTTCGTCGGAGGGCTGGACTACGCCAAAACGGTCGTCTCGCGGGTGGACTCTGTCGTGGTGCTGACAGGTGAGGAGCGGATAAGCGGCACGAGCTGGCTAGTTGATAACATGGCTCGGATAGTGGATATAATATCTGATATGATAGTTCAATCTCGTATTATTGACTCGTCCGGTGGGTCCAGTACATTCAAAGGACACTACCGTTTGGTTTATAGGGAGTGCTCCACATTTGTATGGGGTTAAAACTCAAACACCCAACTTGAAAGCCTTTCGGTGCAGTTAACAGCCCAGCCCTTCTTAGGACCGAAACCCCTCTATTTTCTGAGCTACACGCCCGTGAAAATAGGGAGAGTATTTCAAGTTCACCATTCATGACGTCATAATAACGTCATTTTATGTCTGCCAGATCATAAGCCATGTAGCGATTAAGGCCGAGGAAAGTGTAATGGTCAATATCTGGCGTTCGAAGGCACGATTTCCAAATATAACGGCCGTCAACGGGCTCCCAATCAGTGTTGTGCAACGTAAGATGACGCAATCAAGCAATGGCGTATCGAGAAGCGTTTTATTAAATAGAGAACTTGCAGTGTCTAGAGAAGTCTTTTCTACTTAGAAGTATGGTATATGAATAGCTATAAGTAAGCTGGTCTCATCAAATCTAATGTTTGCCTTTAATGTCTTTAAACGTGAAACGTTCCCTCTAACGAGAATATTGAGAATAGCTGTTAGTATTATGGCTGGAGCGCTTGTTCAAACTATCGTCATCATCGCACAAAGATCGTCTCCAGATCGAGGGCCAAGCACGCCAAGACAACCGCAAGCGAATTCAAAGGAGCGTTGTGTTGTCCCATGACGTGGCCAACTCTTCTGTGAGCTGACGTTGGATTACGTCCCAATTACGACCCACATATACGCTGTGATATTGGCACACTGCAAAAGCTATAGCAATGCTTTGGGCGGTACGAACTCTTAACGTAACGTGCCTTCGATCTGCAGTGATCTTTAAACGAGCGTTAACGTACCTCATTCTTGTCTATGATTTGGTTTATATGGTAGCATGTTCCAGACTTGACTAAGATTGACCCTGCCCCCGTATGGCGTCAGGAGAGGTTACGAGGAGTGATGGCGTCCGTGATATGCCCGCTTCAGGTCTTCCAAACCCCTCAACAAGAATATAGCGCGCTTTGAGTGGTGAATGTGCCAAAGGCACACTGACGGCCCGTTTTCGCCACACACAGCCTGCACGATGAGGCCATAGATCAATGAAATGGCCAACTAGAATGTTGGCACCTTCACAGCACGTTAGAGAGATTTAATACCAAGTTCGCAGAATCGCAATGCGACGCGCTGGAAAGTCCAGTAAACACCTTTTGAAAGCCGTTGTTGTTTACCTTCCTTGGCTCCAGTACGTGGGAGGTGGTATGGAATTCTGTAATTTATGGGAAACAAGATACCGCCTTGGCACCATGATCCCCGGATTACATGCTGCGATCCGGAATGACAAGGTTTCACGGCTTGAAGTCTGCTGAAAATGTTGCCAGTCAAAACAACGTTAAGAGCAAAACCATCCAATTGCGGAAAGCGAGAGAGAGAGAGAGAGAGAGAGAGAGAGAGAGAGAGAGAGAGAGAGAGAGAGAGAGAGAGAGAGAGAGAGAGAGAGAGAGAGAGAGAGAGAGAGAGAGAGAGAGAGAGAGAGAGAGAGAGAAAGAGAGAGAGAGAGAGAAATATATAGAGCGAGAGAGAGAGATAGAGAGAGGAGGAGAGAGGAGAGAGGAGAGAGAGAGAGAAGAGAGAGGGAGAGAGAGAGAGGAGAGAGAGAGAGGAGAGAGAGAGATTTGGAAGGTAACATCATGTCGAGCCCTGCTCCAAACTTCAAGCCAATTTCAGCAACGTGGAGGCAGTGCTTAACAGAACACGTTTATAAATGTTAGGGCGTAGTGTACAAGCTGCTTCGTCGGCGATGTTCTTTGTTAAACATTCGGGTGTCGAATGAATGATGCCTTCTCCCTCTGTGTAGCAAAGAAATCGCGATTACTGTTTGCGAAAAGCTTACACGATGGGTCAAATTGGAGTCAGATCTTGTCGGCTTGGCTTCGCAGTGACGCGAACCAAACACCATGTGTCGGGCGAGAAAGGAGCTATTGTACTGACAGAAGTACGACTCGAAGCATGCAGAAGGCTGCCGTCGCTCAAGAACAAACTGAGGGCTCGTCCTCTTCTCAGTTGTCTTTAATGCGTGTGTCACATCTCGGCAACCAGATCCAAGGAACGTGTATGCGCGGTGTGGGCCCATGTGTCGTCTGCCAATCACGAGGCGCCCTGAGCATCGTCCGATCCGGCTACGCCAATGATCGGCCAGTAAGCGGCTAATCTCAATGTGCATCGATCAGACAAAGATGTATGCGTTTCTAAAATATATGGCTTTTTTAAGCTGTGGATTTACACGTCATCGACATGTGCCTGCACAAAACTTAAATGTCCGTCATCAAATTCGTTGTCCCACACCACGCGTCGTGGCGTCCTACCGAACGTTTTTTTTGCCGTTTTATGAAGAAACGACACAAATCGAACGCATAAGTCGCGTACAAATATGAAGGTTACAAATAAAGCCTTCCGGCGGTGCATATATGGCGACGAGCCTGTATGTTGGTGTGAGTGCCCCCCCCCCCCTCCCCTCCGCAAGGCTTTTAGCAGGTGCCGGCAATATTCTACCGATGTTATTCGGTAAGTGGGGAACTTTTTGCACACGGCTGTCAGCAGGGCTCAGTCATTATTTTGTTTTCCAGCGTTGTGCCCGTACTCTGAAAGGAGCCTTACAGCTGTCGTGTTGTGCCTGGAAGTCATCTGTGCATTGATAGGCCGTGGAATCACTCGTCATGAGACCTGCCACTGCTCCCATGCTTTTGGCCAGACCACTGAATGCCCCGTGACATTGTCTGCCGCTGGGACTGACTGCATGAATCCATAGCGCAGCGTATTGTCTGTCACATCGATTGGATCATCTCACATGAGGACCAGCGACGTATCGGTGGACTTCCTCGGACCTTTGGCGGCACCTCTTGTGGACCACGTGGGCTGCGATCGATTCCCCGTCCTGCGGTGTAGCCGTTCCTTAACTCCACGCCACGCCACGCCACGCCACGCCACGCCACGAAACGCCACGCCACGCCACACCACGCCACACCACGCCACGAAACGCCACGCCACACCACACCACGCCACCCCACCCCACGCCGCGCCACGCCACGCCACGCCACGCCACGACACGCCACGCCACGCCACGCCACGCCACCCCACCCCACGCCACGCCACGCCACGCCACGGCACGCCACGCCACGGCACGCCACGCCACGTCACACCACGCCACTCCAGTCCGTGGCACGTCACGTCGTGTCGCGTCACGTCACACCTAGCGAGTTCACCTCCTCGGCGCATTCAATTTACCGTCTGTTTTTTTTTGCATGAAAATTTTCGCGTGGTTATCGGCTTTTTGTGTTGAATAGCCCCATATTTGCTCATCAACTGCACACAATAACACAGATTGGCAGGTTTCTCAGGAGGCCATGTGAGGGCTAGTGAAAAAGCTTTTCATGCTATGCGTGCTAGTGTTCGAAGAGGCCGTGAAGTGGCGGCAGCTGGTTCAAACGCAGATGATGTTTTGAACCTTTCGCTGCACTGGGAGGACGTCGTCAATATTTCCATCCGGCATGACGCCGTGGAGTGTGCGGGGGGGAGGGGGGGGGGGGGTTATACTGCGGGCCGTGACTTTCAGGGACTCTATGCACATCTGATCACAAGTGTGGTTCGTGTACTGGAATGCTGCAGACCGTCCTACTTCCGCCTCGGCCTGCTCTGAGAGCTCCCTCCAGTTTTTCTTGTAGCGGGACCCCAGCCCTGGCTACGCGCCAGGTCGAAGATACGTGGCCGTTGGAATAGGCGGACGTATTAGATTATGATGTAGTTTCTGGTGCAGTTTCTGGTGCAGTTTCTGGTGCAGTTTCTGGCGCAGTTTCTGGTGCGGTCTCTGGTGCAGTTTCGGCAGTAGATCTGGCCATCCGGCACTTGCTCAGCACCTCAGCTGGGCCAGTTAAACTACACCCAGGCACATCGGTTCACGTTTGACCCCTGTTCTGTACCGTTGATTATTTCCGCTGTGCGACGCATCCGTTGAGTTTTGCTCGGAAGGAGCCATTGTTCTCTACGGCGTGCGTTTAAAGAAACACCCGCCGCTTAGACGCGGTATTATGAACGCCTCGTCCCGCAGTTTAAGTAGTGGGCTCCAGAGGGAAATTGAGGCAGCCATCAGGCTCGCCGTGTTCATACATCACAATAAGCGCTCCAAATGTTCCTTTTTCATCCAGAGAGCTGAAACGAAACTTCAGTGAACTTTTAGCGAGCTACTTTACAGTTCATTCCCACCACTCGTTGTTTTATTCCCCACCATCTTAACGAGCGGCTGGATTTTCCCTGCGGGTTTTTTGCATGTGCGTGGCGCTCTCTCTATGTTCCCAGCTCAGGTGATTTGGGGTTTCTTGCTCCAATCTGATGAGCTTCATGAGAGACTGAAGTCTCATGAACTTTAGTCTCCTTAACTAAATCATCTAGGTACTATAATAGTCTAGTAATATCATCTAGGTACAACGTATGGCCAATATCATCTAGCTGCAGCGTAGCAGCTCAAACAATGTGTTTGCTTAAAACCATTCTTGCCGTACAGTTTAAACGGTGTCCTCATAGCTGAAGTATGGAGATAAACATGGCGTTTCGCACCAGTTTGCCAGAAGCCGTTTTATTTAAGTGAACGTTTGCCCACCGCGTTCTCAGCAGCCGACCAGGGATCCTGGCGGCTAGCCGAACAGTGAAATTCGAACAGCCGTCCCGGTAGTGCGCCACCTTCTGCCAGTACCGCGAACTGACGCATGGGCTTCTGTGTACATTCCATCATCCACTCACATAAGTGTTATAAACTAAGGATATCAAAACCTCTATGAGCTTTATTGATACCTTAAGTGTGCTTCTGTATTACTTGTAGCCGTCCTGGTTCACACCACGTACAAATTATACATTATAGCATTTGTGACCGCGTTGCAGACCGCCTCCCAAAATGATGGAAAAAATGTGTCAACGAACTATTTGAAGGTTGTTGTCTATCCACGAAAGAGCACGGTAAAAACAGCTCCTGTGTCTAGAAGACGCGCCAATCTCCAGGTGTCCTGGTGGAAACCTGCAGCCCACCTCCCGGTGTCCTGAAGGTGACCGGCAGCCCAGGCGCCGATGTTCTGAAGTCGGCCTGCAGTCCAGCCTTCGTCAATCTCCCGCTGTCCTGAAGGTCGCCTGCGCCCCAGCTCCAGGCGTCCTGAATCCTGGCTGCAGCCCAGCCTGCGCCCGCTGTGGACGCCCGCTCTGGCGTCTCCGGGTGTCAGCGCTCGGCAGCCGCTCCCAGAGCATCGGTGCAGGTCGATGCCACGCGGCTTTCGATACAACGCACGAGTGAACACCTTGATTTTGTATCTGAAACGGAACGGCTGGATGCGAGCGAGGTCAATACGCGGCGTGATCCGCGCTTCCGGAGCGCCTCTGAAACGTCTCGATGTTTCCTGTCCGCAATTGGTCCTCAACACCAGTAACCAGTGCACGAGTAGATTCAGTAACCGTGCTCAACACGGCGGTCGGCGTTCGTTATTGAACGGCGCTGAATGATGCAGGCTTTTATGGACGGAGTTTGGACCGGATGGCTTGTGTTAAGGCGCTGATACATTTTGCATCCTCTCGCCCAGCCACCTGACGTTTCCTGGTTGTGAATAAGTCAGCGATGCTGTCTCTCCGGATACCAGGGCCGAGAGCGGGGCTTGACGGGGCCCGCAGAGTGGTTAAATTCCGGGTTTGGGATGAGCCCTAGGGCTGTATTGGAGCTTGTCGGGTGATCTTCAAAATACGTGGATAAAGATCGTATTTTTACTGGCCAGGGGTGTAGTTTCCTGTTCAGTTGGGGGGGGGGGGGGGCGGGGCTCAAGCCCCACTGCGACTTGAGCTCTAGTGCGGCCTCCTCAACTTCGAGAAGAGAGTACGCCAAATCCGGGGATAAGCCTGTTTGCTGGCGTGTTTTGGTGTTAGATTCCACCTTTGACGCTGTTCAGACCCCCAGTTATCTTGCGAAACCCAGTCCATATTGCTGGCAATGTTGAGTAGTAGTAGCATCAGCGACCTATCCCTAATGACGTGAATGGAAAGATGACTCTACTTAATCGTGAGTTAATAATAATCTTATTGTTATTACAAGCATGAGCATTAGTACTGGCAAACAGTGTACAGATTAGTACTTCTTACTGTGCCATTTTTATCTCGTTTCACCTGAATCCGTGGGCAGTTTTGTGGTATGTCTACCCCCAATGCATATTTAAAGGCAATGTTCCACACTTGAAGATATTGAATCAAGTATCAGATATTGTGAAATAAGCTCACTTACAACAATTGGTGCACCTCTAGTGGAAAAGACCGCTTTAGGCAGCACAAGTCTCTGTTTAGTAAAGATGCTCCTCAATGCGTCATGGTTTGATTACTTCATCGTACCTTGCACAACATTGATTGAGAGCCTTTTGACTGTCGTTGTATCTGGACATTGCGCTCACGAATGCCTGAACTATGAAGGTCTCGAAAGTTATATTTTATTGGCCTTGATCGCCGCATGGCTTATGAAATGGCAGGGTTTGCATGACGTTATTATGAAGTCATAAATGCGCAGGTGATTTTGAAATACTCACCCCGATATGCCTTTTTCCATTTTTGCGGGCATGTGTAGCTCAGAAACTAGAGGGCCGTAAGTTTTAAGAAGGGCAGGATTGTGAACAGCACCGAAATATTTTCAAGATGGCTGTTTCAGCTCAAAACGCCGTTTGGATGAAGATCGTTTCTTGTAAAACGGCAGGTGTGAGATGCATCGGATGATGTTTAAAACTGCTATTTCGTTTCAAAACCCCATACAAATGTGAAATTCTTTCTTTATAGGGGATGCTTCACATGTGAAGATATTGAGGCAACCATGAGACATGATTTAGCAAGTTGTTTTGTAACTGCTGGTATGTTTTTAAAGTAAAAGGTATGTTTTGTTTTTAGTGCAAAAGACAGCTCCGGGCAACACAATTTCAGTATTCAGATGTTATGCTTCTCAGCACGTCATCGTAAGATTATATCATGGAACGTTTGTATGACGTCAGAGGTGGTGCAAAACTGGCCTGCGAGATTGTCATCGAGAGGTGTTATGGTTTCATGCTAATCAGTGCCTTGTTTGCAGAACCCAAATATCCTTATATGCGCGTGTTTTAGCTCTTTCCCGTGGTGCTCTTGCTTACTAATAAGTGGTTTTATATTGCTGACTTGCATTAATGTGCTCGGCCATGGCGCTGTTAATTTACTCAATTCGCAGTCCTTTTTCCGTCATAACCCGTGACACTGTCCAACTGTTTATCTCATATGGCACAAAACATGATTTATGTTCATTACCCGTATGATACCGATCACCTTGGTCCAGGGCCAATTGAAGTCAGTTGATGTAAGAAATTGTGCTGACGTAAGCCGGACACGAATAGCTGGATGATAATGTTTTTGGTGGGCATAAGCGCTGCATGGCCAATGAGGTGACACGATTTGTGTGGGGTTTCTAAGGCACCGTGCATTCTGGTAACCTTGTAATAGTCTGCACGAAATGGTGTACACGCATTCGCGGACGTCAAGATACGGAGCCAGGTGCCTTAAAGTCTCGAAAAGGAAAGAACTGTAAACTGTACTGAGTTATTTTCAACATGACTATCTCAGTTTGGAACCCCCATACAAAAGCGGAACACTTCCTTTAACTGGTAACTAAGCAATTAACACACATGCCGTGATATTTTTGGACAATTTGGATGTCCCAACTTCCGAAGCCACTGCCGCGTCTTCGCGGGTGCACTATAATAACTTTGCTGACTACTTTCGAAGCAACTACCGCATCGCTTCAAGTGCACTTAATTAAATGTCTTCGCCGTCTGTTTTTTACTCACCCTCCTTTTTCTTTGACGTTAAGTGGGTGGTCGTCATGACTTCGGAATGATAACGCCCGCCTAGTGTGGACACAAGCCTGCCGTTAGTAAATGGGACGAGAAAGCTGAATGGGCCGGCATTGATCCAGCATTCCCGGCAAGATGTGATTATTTTGCAGGATGTTAATGGTGACATAATGGCTACAACCAACGCACCAAATGACAAGAGTATTTGAATGACGTCACCGCCGAATAAAAGCAGACTATCTAAAAGCAATTTAGCCACATTTTCCTCCGAATGCAAGAATGTGTCCATCACGTATGAAGGAGGACCCTGTCAGCATTTCCGGGGACAGGCTGTCTCTCCTCATCTATGACAAGCGGACATTGCCATCGCTCCTGAATTTTATCTGCCGGTCTCCGCACCGTGCCCCGTGGTCATTCACACTCTTCGTTGCCTGATACGCGCCCTATGTCCCGTGAGCATATCGCCTGCTCGTGCAGCCGGCGCTGCGCAGCGCTTTACCTAGCGCGGCGACCGACGTGTCCTGCCAGCAACCACCGCAACAGCTGCCGGGAAACGAACCTGACCGTACAACTCGTGTGTGTCGTCTCTAACGCGGCGGCGCTGGTTACAGCCGGCCGACAGTCGCGCAGGTCGGTGCGGGTGGCGAGCGGCCGCGCACGCAGCCCCTGCTCCACCGACTCGCCCTCGCTGCGCCGGCTGCTGACGTCACCGCGTCCCATGACGTCGTCGCTGGCGGCGGGGCGCGCGCCGGCCTGGGGAGGAGCTGCCGGCGGAGCGGGACGGGCGTCCGCGACCATCAGGCTCGGCGGCGAGCCAGCCTCGGCGGACGCCAGCAAGGAGAGCCCGCACGGCGGCGAGACCGGCCCCGGCCCTGGCCCCGGCCCCGGCTCTGGCCCCGGCCCCGGCCCCGCCCCCGGCTCGGACGGAGAGGCCCTCTGCGGCGGCACACGGGGGCTTGGGAGTCCTGGTGGCCAGCGGATACCCGTAGGAGACGCCGCGGAGTCGGCCGGGACGGTGGCGGGTGTTGCTCAGAGCTGCGACCCTGATGCCGGCGGAGCAGAGACACAGCCACCGACACAGTGCGGTTCGACGACTGTTCCTGTAGCATCACAGACCGTACGGCAACAGGTAAACGGTAGCTTTAAATCGTTTCACTCGCGATCTGTTGCATTTAGAGGAAGGCAATGGGTGGAGTGCTGTAGTCCAAGATATGCTGTAGTCCAAGTTAATTTCACAACTATATATCAGTGGCATGACATTTGTATACACCCACCCACCCACATAGCATATCACAGAATATATATATATATATATATATATATATATATATATATATATATATATGTGTGGGGGGTGCATGCGCGTACGTGCGCACATTCGTGCGCTCACAGTAGTCGAGGACACCGTTCATTCCTCACCCGTCAAGCTTCCGTACCCAATATCCTAAGCATATCAGCGACCAATCAGTACGCAATCCAGAATTTGGCCGAATGGTCGCCACGAATTCCTGGCCGCTGGTTCCCTTCAGCTGGAGTGATGTGTGTGCTGGTGCCATGTCGAGTAACTTCAATTTGCGTAGTTTGATCAGCCTAGCAGTGTACTTTCACAGCCTTGTTTTGGTTTGTCGCACGGCTAGCCCTGCTGATGACGGAATTGCACCGTTTCGCACTGCGTCTTGAGTGTGAATGGTAGCCGTCACAATGGTGGCCGTTACCTGCGGGCCGCTGTTAGGTGTTGACCTGTGCGCGATCTGTGCCGGCAGACGGAGGTCAGCGCCTGTCAGCGGCAGCCGGCTGGGCCAGACCGGCCGCGCGCGGCGGACGCGTCAGCGCCGCTCGCCCGCGTGGCCGTGTTCAGGTCGGGGGTGTCTTGGTGTCCCGCCGCGCCCTCGGGCTCGCAGCGGCGCAGGCTGCCTCGCCCGGCCGTACCGGCGGCGCCCAGCGCCCGGCGTGCGGTGGTCGTCGACCCCTGGCGTCCGCCGCCGGCCGCCGCCAGGACGGACACCCCCGTAGTGCCGCCCACCGCCGCACCGTTCAAAGCTGGCGCGCCGCGCCCCATTGCCGACGCAGGTGGCGCTAGCAGCGCTTTAGCTAGATGGCGCTGTGAGCAGTCCGCCAGTGGCGCCATCGTCGACTTCCACGGCAAGATGGCTCAGCTACTGGCGCACGGTCTGGGGGAGGGGGAGCCGGAGAAGAGGCGCACATCAGCGCACGTGCGTGCAGACGGCATGCTCCGGTTCAGCCGTGAATTCCTCGCGTAACTGCGCTGCTATACGTCTGGGACAGTGGCTAGTCGATGTACGCGGTTGGCGTGTTCACGGCGGGGCAGGAGCAGGCTTCCGTGAGTCATCTCACAAACTGGTCGCTGCCGTCTGTAGCAAATGAAGGTTGTGATTTTCCTGTTGTGTTGGGTTAGTTTATTCCAAATCATGTACGTGAAATGGAAATCCTTGGCATTGTGCAGCGTGCGGTAAGATATCAACTTGGTCTCAAATTATCATACAGCATTGTTATTCAAGGTGAACACATGAATTGTCATCAAACACGGTCATATGCTAGAATTCAGCAGTAGTGCCTGGATGGGGTTCGGCCCTCTGGCGGAGGCGCCAGGCGCAGCCTTTCCGCGCAAAGCTGCCGCAACTTTCAGTGTCAATTGTGCCCGTGTTCACTGTATTGACCGGAAGACTGCACTACACAGTCGATCAAGATAACGGGTGTAAGTCATGAGCAGCAGCTCGTGGTCTTTATCTGAGATCGCGTCTCTCTATTGTCTCGTATTCGTGTATGTTCGCATATCTAGTATAGCACCTCCGTGATGTGATGAGCATGTCGTCATTATCTATCATGTTATCTCATTCTGCGTAATGGTCGAACCCACTTTATACAGCGAACCAAATGGTAGTGTTTCGGTTTTGAAGTCCTCTTATCGACGGTAGACCCGCTCACTTCAAGTGGACAAAATTATAGCGAAGGGCGCGCTAAGATTCCGCATTGTACTGCGTGGTCATTATTACGTCACATCAGAATAATGCAAGCTCGATGTTTCGGACACGCGGCGTCCAATCCATTCAGCACATCCTTGATTAGTTTACTCCTTGAGCACAACAGACAGGCGACGCGTGCGGGCCGCGTGGTGAAAGCCAGTAAACAGACGGCCGCGCGCCAGGATCGTCGGTGCTCGTAGCCAGGATTGCCAGGATTCCACTCAGCCAGGCTTCTGCTCAATTAACGAAGAAGCCTGCGGGCGGTCGCCTTGTCCGCCAATCAAAGCCGGGTTGTGAGTTTCCTCGTTGCGATGCGTTACTCCATCGGAGGCACTTCGTTCCCATCACTTCACGGGGAGGATTTCCATGGAGCTTGGGGTACGCATGGTTTGTTGCTGCATCTCAGCGTTCGGATCTGTGTGTTTACAATGTAAACAGAATGTACCAACAGTCGTTGTGTTCGTGTGGTACAGGTGTGCTGGTGTACACAGTAGACTGTCGGGGATGTTGTGAGCTACTTTGCTGTATATTTGTATTGCGTACTGCAGCAAAAAGGGGCGCATGTATGCGAGGGATCGGGCGATGCTACGCAGGTTCCCAATAGTACTTCGTGTCATCAGAGGCCTCATCGTTGCTTCCTTAACGGACCACAGCGCCAGGTTGTGCTGGATCAAATCCTCGTAGCATTTTTCGATCTGTTCATTCTCTTACAACTCGAAAAAGGTCTGAGAATGTCGCTCAGCTAGCGACGATTGTTTTTCTTCCACCACGCTCATTACATGCTGATTTCATTTGCGATAAAGTCCCGCTTGAGTCCACCTGATCGGGCACTAGCACCGCTGCTGAGAGCATAAATCAAAAGTAAAGTAATATCGATCGAGGCTTTTTTATCTCACTTTCGCTCCGACATCCGTGCATGTGCTGAACAGAGCACGTATCACCGCTGGAGCAAACATGCTAGCATGTTAAAATATCCATGCCACAAGCCTGGGACTTCCACTCCCAGCACTGACATGCACTGCTTCCAGACAATCCCCTCCTTGTACTTCTCCTCTGTCCACGCCAAGAGCGTGGATCCGTGGATCAAGCCAAGAGCATGATCCGCACGCTGCGTGATCCGCGTGCGGATCATGGCGCCGGATCAGTGCCAAAGCTCGGTGTCGACGCCCTTGTCGGCTCCGCGTGTGAGACCAGTCGCCTGCGGGCATTCTCAGGACTGCGTCGCTGCCCAGCCAGTGCTGTCGTCGATGTGCGCTCGCCGGGGATAATTACGCTTTCCTGGGCGACGGCATGTGGGCTTCTCGCCGTAGCGTGTGTCGGCGTCTCTGGCGCTATTGCTGGCCGATGTCGTCGGGGATACAGCCGACCCGGGGTCTAGTGTGGCAGTGCGGCAGGCATATTGGCGTGGAGCGAGACGCGTTGCTGGGACAGCCAATCAAAATACACGTCGTCGTCGCCTGTGTGCCGCGGCTTGTGTGCGCAGGTGCCGGTGTGAGTCGTGTTCTGGAGACCAGTGAAGTGAGCCGGCCGTTCTCAGACACGCTGGAGCGACTTTGCAACGTGTCTGAGACTTCGACCGCACACATGCGGCAGAAATGCAGACAGTCTGAGCTACCATTACCGTGGCGAACCGAACGCTCGATTAGCCTATTAGGGTGGACAAAACAGCCCTGGGCGGCGGGAGGTCACGTTAGCACAGGTCACAATCCAACCGACAAGGACAGCGCTGTGCTATAGCCAACACCTACCATATATACAAAGCACTGGTGTATTATACCCAGTTTTCTTGGCCTTCACTGACGCTTAACTGCCTTGAAAGCGCGATAGTAAAGCAAACCACCAATGCGGTCAAATGAAAAATGTCGTCTTTTCGACGGTTCCTTAAAGTATATGTTGGATTGTTCGTTGATAAGAAAAGATTTTACCTGGCGGCCAAATGATACGCCTCCTGCACAAGTCTGTGTCCTACATAATGCCACGAGACTTTCATATACCCTTACATATTAGATGAGAGGCGGTTATCTGGCTTCTAATAGCCTGATTATTGTGGATAGTACACACCTAAGCCCCATCATGTGTTGCATCAGCATGGTGAGGAGGTTTATGTAACATTGCGATGTAGATCTGACCGCTGTGGTTGGCGCACTGCGAGCAAATCTGCCCCATGGGGCTAGCAGATTAAAGGGCAGAGCAATGTCTTTCATCAGAGGACTTACCTAAACTGACCAACTGGCCATGACGTGCAGGTGATGATCGTATCGTTAGTCGCTCATGTTTTATAACATCGTATGTGTATCGCTGGTGTTGCGTCCCATTTGCATGTGTGGCGTGTTCTGTCTATATATGTGATATGTGCCGGTGCGGCGTTAGAAAAGCCATCTGCTGGATTTCGCCAAGGTTCGCAATAATAATAGGCATTGGGCATTAGGCATTAGGCATAGGGCATTGACATGCGACATTGGGCATTGGGCATAGGGCATTGACGACGGTGGGCTCCACGCCATTTGGGAGTTAACAGAACAGCGAAGAATACAGGGTGCCGCTTGCTTAACCTATTGCATATCTGGCAGTTCTGAACAGACCGACTGATAAAAATAGAAGGTAACGACTAATGGAACCAGTTATTAGAACCCAGCCCCCCCCCCCCCCCCGAAGTATGTTGGCAGCACAACCACTTCCGGCGTACTTGTCCTACCAGCACGTAGTTTGTTGTTTTTTATAGATTTAATCCGAATATTTTTAATGGATGGATTTCTGCGATCAGAGCTCACCCTAGGCATTGCTTGTTTTGTGAGCCTTGACCTCTGTCATCCGATCGTGACATTCCAGGTCAACGGCAAAATTTGGTGGCAAAGTTAAACGCACTGCAATGCTCGGCACGGTCCGTACTGCCCTCTGATGTCACCTGACCTTCAGCGCGGTTGCGCGTTCACGTGAGGCTCGAGGCCTGCTTTTCACAAAACTGTGAACCGAGCTTCGTCGCGCTAATGTCGATGAACACGACACGGAAATAAAAATTGCTCAGTTATATTGCGACGATCCCTGGACCATTTCTGGTCTAAGGAAAGTCAACTATCACTGCTTTACCGGGAAAAGGTTTCATGCATGGCTCGCCGTTGATTCCTATTTTCAAGATATGTCCCATGATCTCAGGGAATCAGCCGGCGCCGTCCCGCATCCAAAATTCAAAGGCCGTATGTTCGAGGTCCGGGCGGACCAGAAGCAGAACCTGTTCCCTATGGGATATGTTGTTGTTTGCTAGCAGTCGCTTCGTGCTATCAGTGTTATGCGGCACACAACTTCTTAAGTTTCTTGCAAGAGAAATTAGAAATGACACCAAACCATTTTAAATGCATTCACTAGTGCAGCATTTGCATCACGTTACAGGCTGATAAATGTTTGGTGTAAAACAAAGTTCTAGCCTACATTGTACATCTGGTGCATTTCTATAATCATGACGCAATTTATGTACTGAACTATTCTCTACCCGGCATCTCTTACCCTGATTTACGCCCCAGAGGCAAAAGTTGAGTGATGGATGCAAAGGACGTTTCTGCGCAACCGTCTATCATTCTCGTTACATAAGCTAGAGTATGAAGAGTAAAAAGCCTGGTTACAGTTCATCCTTGCCTTCTTGGAAGTTGAAGGTGTTATAGTGTGACATTTCTAGATTTTGTTAGCGGCGCTGCTTCAGCAAACGCTTTCTTGGACGGCGATTTACATCATAAAACCAAATGCAAGTACTTTCACGAATGGGTTTAAAAATTCCTTTGCAGCAGATCTTTTATACATGGGTTTAAAAACTCCTTTGTATTAGATTTCCTTCACTGACCGATCACCGCCAAGCATCTCAGATAATACTTTATAAGCCGGAGCAATCAACATACGCCTCTTGTTTTTTAGTTGTGTTTTTTCTTCGTTCTTCCGCCGGCTGTGATGAGCACATCGTGCCGCGGCGTAACAGACAGGTGATGTTGGCTATGTATTCACTGCGCACAACTGGACCCCGCCGGAACCGGTGCGCCTGTGGACATGACCCGGAGGTCTACGGTTCGCTTCCGTGGTGAGGCCCGGCTTTTGCAGGTCTTTTAAATGGTACGAGGCGAGACAAAAAGTGCCTGTGCTGGCCACGAGGATCCACAACAGGCCGTAACAGACTCTGGCCGCAACACAACGTTTAACATATGTATAAACATACATAAGTAGTATGCACAAAGAAACATATGTAGGATGTACCAACATACACACGTAGTATGTATA